AAATTTGGTTCCAAAGCTGCCAACCACATTAACATTTTTGAGTTTAAATACAGATTGTAATAATTTTAATGAATTAGAATTTGAAACTATCGTAAAGCATTGTGGTAATTACTTTGATTTGGAAACACTAACTATTAAGCATGGTAGATTTATATCTAAAAACTTGATAGATTATTTATCTGATATGAATTAAATTTTTTTTTTAAAAAAATAAAGTATTCAAGTTTTTTATTTATTATATAATCAATTTTATTTTATATATTAATTAAAGGGAATTGTTATTCGTACCCCCAAATTTGCTAGCTATACCCCATACAAATTAAAGTTTTTTTTGAACTTTGAGCGAAGGTAACTCGACAACCACCAAGTTAAATTCGATAAACTTTTTTATTCGAATTCTATGTATTCATAGAATTCAAATAAAAAAAAGTTAATCGAATTTCGCCTGGTGGTTGCTGAGATATCTTCGCTCAAAGTCTTAAAACGTCAATCAAAACTCAATTTTTTTTATTTTTTGAGCGAAGATATCTCGACAATCACCAAGCCAAATTCGATGATCTTTTTTTTATTCGAATCTAAGAATCTGTAGAATTCAAATAAAAAAAGTTTGTTGAATTTTGTTTGATGATTGTCAAGATATCTTCGATCGATTTTTTAAAAACTCAACGCCTATAAAAGTAGAAGCCATGCCAAAATGTTTTCCAATGTTTAAACGAAGGTATCTTAACAACCACTGAGTCAAATTCGATAAAGTTTTTTTTATTTGGATCTTACAGATCCGTAGAACTCAAATAAAAAAAGGTTCATCAAATTTGGCTTGATGGTTACTGAGATATCTTTGCTCAAAGAATAAAAAAATTTTGATGCAGCTTCTATTCGTAGGCGTTGAGTTTTTAAAAATTCGAATGAAGATATCTTGACAATCAACAAACCAAATTCAACAAACTTTTTTTATTTGAATTCTACAGATTCTTAGAATTCGGATAAAAAAAAGTTCATCGAATTTGGCTTGGTGAGTGTTGAGATATCTTCGCTCAAAAAATAAAAAAAAAAGAGTTTTTATTGACGTTTAAAGACTTTGAGCGAAGATATCTCAGCAACCACCAGGTAAAATTCAATGAACTTTTTTTTATTTTAATTCTATGAATGCATAGAATTCAAATAAAAACGTTTGTCGAATTTAATTTGGTGGTTGTCGAGGTATCTTCGTTCAAAGTTCAATTTATATGGGGGTATAGCTAGCAAATTTGGGGGGTACGAATAGCAATTCCCTTTTTTTATTATCGTCACAGTCAAATATGATATCATATTTCGAAACATTCATTTTATAAAATTTAGAAAATTTGCCAGTTTGAGTAAAACTAAAATTTTAATAAGTTTTCAGAGATTGAATTCTCGAACAATTTCATGTTTTGAAGAAATTTCACTTTTAGAAAGACATTTATTTTTTAAATCTAACTTGTACAGAACTTTTTTTTTACATTATAGGTGAAATTATCAGCTGAATGAACAGTCTTTGTCATGAATTTTTATAAGTTACAAACTAAATAAATCGGGCATATGTATTTTTTTCTCGATATACAGGTTTAGTTTCAATAATAGATGTATTTTGTTTCACACCATGATGATAAAATAAGGATGATGCAAGAGTCTTTGAATGTTTTTTTTTTAAAAAAAAGGATAAGTGATACTGATTCAAAGTCTTATTTACATGTGTCTAAATTGCCCATCTTAATAAAAAATTTAGTCTTTCATATTTGCCGAAATTTTTTGAACTCATTTATCAAAATATAGTATATTATTTTAGTGGGTTTCATATAAAAAAAGAAAGTAACAATACTGAAATGTTTGCCAAAAATACTTTTTTCAAAAATAATTTAAGCGCACATCTATAGGTCTATAAAGACTTATATAACACAAACAAAAATTAGATTACATTAAAGAATTTCAGTTCAATGATATAAATATGAATCCACGAATATTTGATTTTCTTTTAGTAAGTTAGATAATATTTAAAGGATTGTGGAGAGAGAACTTGACTTAATGTTCTTTACAACGTGGTTAGATGGTAAAATAATTTGAGTAAACATGAAGAATCAGAATTAGAGTTTGGAACTGGAATTTGTTTTTGAATCCGGATTTATATATTATAATTGGTGATTTTCTGCTTCGGATTTAAATCCGAACTATTAAGTTGAAATCCGAATTTATTCCAACAATTACTTTATTGGTCAAATTCAAAAAATAGCATCATTGTATGTTATGTATTGTACATACGTGGTAAAACATTCGATCACTTAAGGATAAAAACTATTTTATCATTATAGAAATTCTATAGGTGGCCAAATACTTTTGTTCCATATACGTTTGTACCGACAATGAGTATTGCAGATTCGGTAGATTCGATATCCAAATTTATATCGAATCCGAATTTAAATTCGAAGATCGAATCCGGTTACAAACTCTAATCACAATCACATGAATATATAGTAAACCAATATAGTATATCCTGTTAGATGAGTACAGTAAACTTTGGTATACATTATGTATAGTAAATATACCGAAAGTATAACTTTTAGGGTCTAAATTATACGGTATGCATACTTTTTATGGCATTTATTTACATAATGTATAGTTTGAATCATGTCTTATACATTATATGTATAACTGCTGTACGTCGAGATCGAATTATATTTTATAAAAAATAGATTGAAATTCTTATTCGTCAAATTGCTTTATATTGTAATTTTTTTAAACCGATTGAGCTGCAAGAACATCCATCTTATCTTGTAATGCATTTGAAGGCAAATCTGTTAATGGACGTCGTAAATCCCTTATTATACAAGAATATTATGATTTCCGTATTAAATTTCAACAACTATCGAAACCGCAAAAGATCGTTATTGGGACAAAGATATTAATTGAACCTATAATGCCTCTTATTTGCTTATAAAGAAAGATTAATTAAAAAATTTCAATTGCCTTATGTGTAATTTTAAGAACACCCAGCTTCCATTCAATAACAAAATTACTGAGTCATATACCGGTACTTATTAAATTAAACTCAAATTCTCTAACAAATTAACTGATTTAGAATTCTGTCACAACTTATACAATTTTGAATCCAAGCACAAAATATTTTTTGCTCGAATTTATTTAGTCTTTTTTTTTATTTACTGCGCTTTTCGATTTATTGTAATACCCATTGCACAAAATTTCTTCAAATCCTATTTTTTACAAATTGTCACCAAACATAATATTACAAAGATTCTCTTTGAAAACTAATTTTCTAGTATTATTGTATTAGACTTCTGTTTTGTTAACCAAACAATAAAAATTTTAGCATCTTTTTATTAACAGTATGAACGAAGCCATTTTCGAATTCTATAAATTAATAGGATTCAAAAACAGCCTTAAACATTTAAATTAACTAAGTCGTTACTAAGGTATCTTCATAACCAATGTTAGAATAAAAACTACCGATTCTCAGTTTTCCATGCAGTGTGTTAGTAACCCTTATTAGTAACCCTTATTAATCGAAGTTATTTATTACAAGTATAAATTTTTTACTATACATTATACTAAGTGTATAATTTTTTTTATCAAAATTATACGGAATATATAATATATTTTAAAATTTTATACTTAATATAAAAGTTTTCAATAAATAATATACATTCCGTATAATACTGTATACTATACTCCTTTACCGACTATACTATACATACCTCAATCGAATATACCGTCGTGTATAGTTGCACTTAAGATATTGCCTTATTCATAAAAGAATTTTCCAAGAGAAGTAAATTCTATTTTATTTATTTCACATATTAGAGATGATTTCGCATAATTATATAGTACACAGAAGAATAATTTGTGCATAGAATTATATTTTGAAAATCAACGCGAAATCAGTATTATTTGAGCCAGCTTATAGTTGTTAGGCAAAATTTGAGATACCTATATATTTATTATTCCGCCAAAGAAATATATCATTATAATATCTTATTATCATATTTATTATTTCTACTGTACATAATTTAAAATTTGATTTACATAAAATTTAATCATACTTAGAACGAGCATTCGAACCTTGGTAAAGTTCATGATAAAAAAGGTTACAAGAAAAACTATTTAGAAAAGGAACCTATAGCTGCTAGTCGAAATCTGGAGGTTTTCGCTTTGACATGACAAAATGCGAATCAAAGCCTAAATGAAGAATATAATTATATGCCTTTTAAATGTACTGTTGATTAGATTTTTAAAAATTTAATTCAGAATAACAATGTTAAATTAAAAATTTTCAATTCTAGTTTTCTTGGTAGCATTCAAATAATTTGAAATTTTGGTATAGTTTATATAAGTCTCACTAATACCACTATTAAACTTTTATTTTGTATCGATATCGGTATTCAATAATGTATAGATTTATGGTAAATTTCTCAAACATTAAATTTTGTTTACAGTATTAACATAAAAGAACCTTTACATACGTATTTTCATTAACCACATTTCAATGTCTACTAGCCATAATGTCTAAATGTTATGATACACGCTATGAAATAGATTTCACTTTAGTTTATGGTTTTATCTATTAAATACGCACAGAATTTTGTTTTATATCTTTATTTAGGAGGTTAGATCTCGTCTTTCGTTTAATAATTATAGCTTATAGTAAAGTTCATAATGAAAATAGTCTAAATTGTGGAGAAAAAGATTTATGATGGAAACATAGACAAAAAAAAATAAAATAGAAAAAATGTAAAAAAGAAAATAAAATTGATCTAAATATTTGTAATAACTTGTACTTCGCAAAATCAAATCAAAATTTGAATTTGAATCAAATATTCGATCAAATTTTTTCAAATATTTGATACAAATTCAAATTTTGATTTGATTTTGCGAAGTACTAGTAATAATGATAAAATTAAATAATTAAATGGTGTAAATCACAACGTGCAGCATCCTTTTGTCTCTTATGCTCAAGTAGTTAAAAAGGATTAGAGGATGAACGTGATATTTTGATATGGGTTAATAGTTGAAAGATCATTATCTGGCATTGATTCTTCGGAAATAGAAAAGGAAGAATATATATTAGGATATAAAGTAGAAAGAGAATTAAATGATGATGTGATATTTTGTTCATGAACGAAAGAGGAAAGTATTAAGGTGGATTGGTCAACGAATGTATTTTGGGATGCTTTAATAGTATCACAAAAGCCAATATTATTATAAGAATGTTGAGTTGTGAAAGGGAAGAAACTGTCTAAATTACTAGTAGAAATATTAGAGGATGATATATGTTGCTCATTATTTGGCATTAATTCATCTTGATCAAAAGAGGAAGACAATAAGGTGGGTTCATTTATGAATTCATTTTGAAAATCAGTAGTCTCCGACAATGGATGTGAGCTATTCTCGATATTTGATGTGAACTGCTCTTGATATTGAGTATAAGCTATACTTGGTATTTGATATAAATTGCTATCGACACTAGGCATGAGTTGATATTGATCATAAGCTGCTTCCGGTACTGGATATGAACTGTCTTCAATATTAAGTGTGAATTGTTTCCAATACTCTGCTTCATAAGGGTCAATATTTGAAAAAGGCTGACGATTTGCAAATCTAGTATCTTGTTTGTGTTTTGGTCCACGTTTGTTACCCGGCATATAAATACAGCATCGATTGTATTTTCTACAGTTTTTACAGGTATCTCCCCGAAGAAATCTTTCGCATCTTACATGTTTCCATTTACAATTTACACATGCTAAGGTTGAATTTGAACGTATTTTTTGTTGAGGCATTCTTTATAATATTTTATGCTCACAAAATATAGTCATACACTATGATAATAGTAATATAATCCTGATTCACTTTTTTTTTTTTAAAAAAAAAAAAAACTTCAAAAAAGTAAAGTTTTTACGAATTGTTTAACTGAAAAAAGGTTAAAGTCTTTAAAAAATTAAAATCTGAAGGCAATGTCTTTATATTTATATTAGAATTTTTCTCGTATTTTGATATCGAGATTTTGTTACAAGGGAACTCTTGTTTAACACAATTTTTTAATCACTGGATAAGATGCTTAGCAAATCTACTTCATTGTTTAACGTTTGTTTATTTAACGCGTGTAATTTAACATGTGTAATTTAAGTGTGTAATTTAAGTATGTGTAATCTAAATGTGTAATTTAACGTGTGTAATTTAACGTGTGTAATTTAAAGTGTGTAATTTAAAGTGTGTAATTTAACGGATAATTAACGCGTGTAATGCCGTTTTTTAAGTTCGTGTGTACACATGTTTAGCGGCTCATACAGAAATGATTTACGATAGCTGGTAAGAACACTGGTAAGTACACTGACAATCGTATTTGAAACAAGACATCATAAGTACAGTATACTGTATATAAACGTAGAAGTGATTTTATGATAGTTTTTCTAACACGGAAAATTGCAGACAAAATCTTTTAAGATAATCAATACCTATAAGTGGTAATCTATAAAGCCTAAAGGTTAGGGTATGGTAACGACAAGACTTAATTGGTACCGAACTTTGCAAGGAATTCTGCAAGGGAAATAACTGATAAGTTTCGTAAAGTTTTAATGCAGATAATGAGTGAACTTAAATTACGAGCAAGATTGTTGTGTCTGAAAAGTTTGAAAGATCCCGAAAATAAATAAATAAGTATATATTTACACATTTAAATCTAATCCAGGGTGGTTCAGATCCCACACCGACGCCAATTAGAAAATTTAAGAAACAACTGTAATACAAATAGAAGCGATATATCTAACTTTTGTGAAAAACTTTTGCTTAATGACAGACAACTAGTTTTTTTAATAGCAAATTTGTACGTTTTTGTTTATTTGTTTTTTTTTTTCGGATTTGTACAGTAAGTTACACATGGACAGAAATCCATGTATGTACGTACGATTGTGAAGTGCCCAGACCTCGGCCTAGGGACGATGATTTACTGCGATCACAGAAAGCAGCATAATTCTCCTTAAAAACCGCTAACCACAGAAATCACGCTTAGTCACTGCAGAATGTCACAGAATTCTAAGATATCGCATAAATTCAGGTTGTCTGATCCGATGAATGGTATATTCGGATATTCAATGAATATCCGAATATTCGATTATATAATTGTTTCACTGAGTTGAATATTCGAATATAAAAAATTTTCATCAAATAATTCATTGAATATTCAATGAATATATACTATCTAATCGACCAATTAAATGCAAGATTGGTGTCATATGTCATGCTCTACTAATTGATTAGCTCATGAGCCCAAAGTAGATAAATCCTTAATATCCGGCAAACTCATATGATCATGAAAAAATTTCTTTTTATTATTTTTTTCATGTGTTACTCCCATTATTGGGCAAATTGTCGAATACGTTTGCCAAATTACCGTTATTCAACAATTTTTGCCCAATAATGTATACTTAGCTAGAAGTTTTCTTTATCGATTTATTTATTTTATTGTAGCTTTTAAGTATAAAATTCATTTGATTATTCAACTTCATAATACTGTCTTAACTCATTATTATTACGAATCAACAACTCTATTTCATGGTCATCAATATTCAATGAATATCAGTGAATATCGAATATTCATTTGAAATTTGCTGATGAATATTCGGATATTTTCTTGTTATTTAATGGATATCTGTGGATACGGGGTATTCTATGGAATACTCCATATCCACAGATATTCATTAAATGTCGCGGATGATAGTGAAATCGGATGATCGTGAAATCTGGGGGCCTTGATTTAAAAATATAAGCCCTACTAAAACCCACCTATACTCTTTTATTATAAACTTTAACCCTAAATCCTAAAAAAAAGTCTAAAAAAATATACCCTAAAAATTTTTAAGGGTAGAGGGTACTATTTTAAAATGATATATAAACTTAATGGTTCTTTTTTTTTATATTTAATTTTACAAAAAATTATATTAACTAAACTAATTTTAATTCTTAAGAAAAGTTTATAGAGTAGGTTTTTCTGATTCTAATAGTAGTAAAATCATTGGATATAAAAATTTATAATAAAATTAATTTATAAATTGGCCAATCAAATTTGGCAAGTTTGTGTAACCTTAGAAAATTTTGAGTCAACCCAGAAAACCTTTGATATATATAAGCCTATTTTTTTAAAATGATATAATAGTTCAAAATTTTACTATAATAGATAAATTATTTTATTTATATTTTATAAAATTTTGGCTAAAAT